GTCATTCACTCCACCAGGAAGCAACACCCACGTCACGGATGGATCAGCTGATCGCCTTACCTGCACTTCGGCCGCCATTTCTTCAGCGAAGGAATAAAAAGTGTAGTTAAGTTCTATTTGATCCACAGAGTATAAGTATACTGTGGATCAAATAACACTTAATTACTTTAGGCAGAGTGCACAAGCTATGGAAGCTCTATGCATAATGCCAGAGGAAGGGACACGTAATGGATACCGATTGCATGGCGAGTCAAAAAGAGCGTGCATCATGACTGACTCAGTGACGAAATCTACAATATTCCACCTCTGAATATTGTAAAAACAGGAAACGAAGCACTCAAGTTTGTGATCATACGCAGCAGCTCTGACATGGGGAAACAAGCCGGTTTACGTAATAAGGCGTGGTCGAAGCTAACCTTTGCGAATCTCTAAACAGAATTATCCCCATGTGCCACATAAGGAATGTGTAATAAGGTGAACGTTGAATGGTAAAACACACTTCCGTGTTGATACTATGGTAAAAAAAAAAAACACAATACAAAAACTAGATTTATTGAAAGCGGGACAACATTTTCGGAATCCACCTGCATTCTTATCCTCAGGTCTGAAGAGGAAAGGATAAGGATAAGTCCGACATGCGAAGCTGAGCCTCTCCCGGGCTATGAGGGGAGCCTGGCCTGTGTCGACTAATATCGACTCGCTAACAGTGTGTCAATTGGTGCTGACTCGGCTTTGTCCTTACCCGCCGTGGTGCCCAGCCACAGCAGTAACCTCCAGGCGACAATTGCAACTCCTCGCGCCTGGGCGGGGCGCGAACCGCCGACCCCTCGGATGAAAGGCCGACACGTTACCACTGTACTAGCCTGGAGGCTTAAGAGGAAAGGGAGAGGAGGGGGTATAAAAGAGAGAGAGGAGAAGCAACGCGGTAATACGGGACAAGTAAGGAAGGACGAACGGAAGCGAATGGAGGTCAGGTCAGGTCGGAGGGCCGGGTGGACTGAGTACAGGGTGGCCGGCTTAAGGGGGAAGGCGGAGGATGTGGGAAGCGAGGAGACTGTCGGCGGGAGAAAAGCCGCTGTTCAGGTTGAAATTAGGCAGCAACTCAAGGCATTGTAATAAAACCGTGGCCTGATTATTTGAAGCTTTAAGACGTTGTCCCTTACATTCAGCAGCTTAGAAATATGTCTGTTTTACCTCACGACATGTTACATAAAGCGCTTTACCTGTTTTTATTTATTTTACTCCAGTATCCATCTATAATCAACTTGTGTTAAGTCGCTGTGGGCAGTACCTTTGGTGAACTTTTTCGAATAACAAAAAGGAAAATTTGGCAGTCCTCATCTCCTAAAACACCATTCATTTCTTCAATATTTTGCAAACTGCCCATACTAGCCTTTAATTCATATTTACGGCTCCCTAGCAGCCTACTTCCACACCCGTATATTGATAATAATAGCTAGTCATACCGGGCTTTAATTATTCGTGTTGCCTCATACCCTACCTTCAGACCTAGCATTTGATATTTATGATCATACATGCCAAATGTTAATTCCATTGCGTATCACATTTCACAATATAGACTCCATCTTGTTACACATGGTATCAAACCAACAGTATTCGATCCCTTTCCTGCCGATTGACTGTTAAAAGACTAACACTCCTTTTGGCCCCTTTCTGTTGAGGCACTTTTACTGCTTTGGGAAATAAAATGCGTCGGAAGTGAAATACTTTATTGTGAGGTGTGAGAAATGAAAACCGAATGCAGAGACGATGGTTCACAAAATCTCTCCATTCCTAAGACTACTGCGATTGCGAAATAATCACTTTTTTATTTGCTTTATTTGTATTTGAGAAGCGATAATTTCTCAGCTATACGAACTTCTAAAAGAGTGTGTGTGTGTGTGTGTGTGTGTGTGTGTGTGTGTGTGTGTGTGTGTGTGTGTGTGTGTGTGTGTGTGTGTGTGTGTGTGTGTGTGTGTGTGTGTGTGTTCTTTTGTATAAAAAAGTTACAGTAAACCATTTCAGTGAGTTTTTGGTGCTGTTAGTGTTAGCTTTCCAATAAGCTTATAGATTCTTACTATCAACATGATAGTGTGTTTCAAGTATAACAGAATTTTGGGAAGAAACGATAAATAACCTGGTGTGTTTCACTTCCTTAACTGCAACAGAGAATCTAATAAAAGAGGTGTTTACACTTCTCACACAAAAAATACACAAATAAGCAGTTGAATAAATCAATCAATAAACCATAAAAATACGGGGAAAACATAAAAACCCGAAACTTAAACATCTTCGCATTTGATACAATATAAACATTTTGATTGTGGGCTTACATACACATCACTCTATTATGCAAGAACTTCACTAACAAACTCCAACTTTGGTATGAATATCACATTAAGTTCTGCACCCTGTCTACAGCACACGGGAATGCAAGTGTCATGCAGCCGAGATGTGTCACGAGCTCTCGGGTCATGACACTTCGGCTGAAAATGTGTGTGTATGTGTGTATGTGTGTGTGTGTGTGTGTGTGTGTGTGTGTGTGTGTGTGTGTGTGTGTGTGTGTGTGTGTGTGTGTGTGTGTGTGTGTGTGTATGTGTATGTGTATGTGTGTATGTGTATGTGTGTATGTGTATGTGTATATGTGTGTGTATATGTGTGTGTGTGTGTGTGTGTGTGTGTGTGTGTGTGTGTGTGTGTGTGTGTGTGTGTGTGTGTGTGTACATACTTACGCACACATGAACACACACACACACACACACACCACTATAATTACCTTCATCCTCTCAAATGTGTATATATAATGTATATATATGTATATATACATATACACATATGTATATAATCATACAACTATGTATATAAGTATGTATGTAAGCTCGCGCACACACACACACACACACACACACACACACACACACACACACACACACACACACACACAGAGGGAGGAAGGGAGGGAGAGAGAGTGGGAGGAGAGAGAGAGAGAGAGAGAGAGAGAGAGAGAGAGAGAGAGAGAGAGAGAGAGAGAGAGAGAGAGAGAGAGAGAGAGAGAAGGAGAGAGGGGGAGAAAGAGAGAGGGGGAGAGAGAGAGAAGGGGAGAGAGAGAGAGAGAGAGAGAGAGAGAGAGAGAGAGAGAGAGAGAGAGAGAGAGAGAGAGAGAGAGAGAGAGAGAGAGAGAGAGAGAGAGAGAGAGGGAGAGAGAGAGAGGGGGAGAGAGAGAGAGGGGGAGAGAGAGAGAGGGGGAGAGAGAGAGAGAGAGAGAGAGAGAGAGAGAGAGAGAGAGAGAGAGAGAGAGAGAGAGAGAGAGAGAGGGGAGGGAGGGAGGGAGGGAGGAGAGAGAGAGAGAGAGAGACGGAGGGAGAGAGAACTATGACTTTTGACTTTCACTCCAAGTTGATTTTCATGTAATTGCAGCAAAATATAAATTTGCTTATGTAACAATACCTTTAAAAATAGCTTATGCTTTTCACATAATACAATGATGATTATTATTGCGAAAGTTGGAAAGCACACCTGCAATCATATACATGATGCAATCTGCTTTATTGGCAATAACACTTATCATAAGTGTCAGCATTTGATAGAATGCAATCTATTATCCACGGGTTTCTGATTTCACTACTTTCATAGTTCATTTCATTCAGGAAGCCTGACAAGTATGAATGCATAATTGTAAAGGGAGTGCATATTCCATTCAATATATAATGAAATTTTATTTATGTAATTTATATACCATATACAGATTGATTTTGGACTCTCTGCAACAGGTGCAGCTTCATAGTACACACACTCTCCCATATATATATATATATATATATATATATATATATATATATATATATATATATATATATATATATATATATATATATATATATATGTATGTATATATATATATATATATTTATATATTTTTCATTTATTTATTTTTTGTATGAGGCAAAATATAATCTTTTTTTTTGCCTCTTTCTGAGTTAAATGCCACTCCAACACAAAGAGACTTCTATCAAACAGGCTTAAACTCTAAATTCACCTCTAGCCTAAAGTGTTTTTTTTTAAAGAAAAAAATACATTATCATGGAAAAATGTAACTGAGTATTTATTATCTTAAGCTTAATGTATATATGAGAATCTAATATCCAGCAAAAGAAGTCATCAAATAGCTCGCTCATTTTATTTAAATGGAAGAGGAAAATCTGGAAGAAAATTGCATATCCCAATATTCCAAGTTCAAAATGAGACTTTTACGAAAATAGGCTCGGTCTACGCTTTCGTCTGCTTGATTGTTACCGTTCGCATCATGGACTTTTGGGTTTCCAAGTCGCATTTTGGAGCACGCCTTTCCCCTCCAAAGGCAAAACGAGTACTGAGGAGAAGGAGGACCTATGATAACTGAACACATACCCAAGCATAAACTGAAATAAACTTTGAACTAGGGAAAATCTATGCCGAGGTAAAGGTCGGTGGTTTTTAAGTTCATTCATTTAGAGCCAGAATAAAATTGAAATTCAAATAATTCTCTTTTATAAACTACAATTTAATGGCATATCATGGGGTACTTGATGATGTGTAAATATTGTAATGCCCTCCTTATGTTTTTTTGTTTTTTTTGCTGTTTTTGTTTTTTGTTTGTTTTTTTTGCATTATATTCATAGACAGTTCTTTTTTTCTATATCACCATAATTCAGTGATGATAATAATAATAATGGTGACAATAATAACACTAACAACAGTAATAATATAATAATGATAATGATGAAGATCAAAGTGCTGATGATAAAAATGAAAAAAATTAAGATATCAATAATAATAATAATGTCATTCTTATTATTACTATCATTATTAATAATAACGATAGTAACATCAATAATAATAATAATAATGATAATAATGATATTGATAATGAAATAATAATAAATAGTAGTAATAATAACTACTATAGTAACAAACAAATGCTAAAAATAACAATCAATAACAGTAATAATAATAGTAATGATGAAGATAATAATATTAATAATGACAATAATAATGAAAATAATAATAACTTTAATAACAACTATATCTTAGGCCACATACAGCTCTTTTTTGCATTTTTCATATCAATTCAGGATAACATTCATGCTCCTGTGAATAAAATTTTCTTTCAGACTGTAATGTCATCACAATTTCCATACAACACCACATAAATCCTAAATACAAACACATTGATAACATAAATGATTTGATTAACTTGATATCAGATTGCTCTTCCTTCACAAAATCAAGGGGTGGAATCCACTTAAAAGAAAATCTGAGATGAATTTCAAAAGGATAAGAAATAATTTGCTCTTCATATGATGTCTGTTGAGTTACTCTATAACGAAATAACACATCTTTACCCAGTCTATGCCGAACCTACTGAGACAAGCTTTCACATATTTCCACCTAAAACCTATATCACATGTGCAAATAATCTTAAGTTATAAATCACAGAACACATCGTGATCACAGAAGATGAAGTGTAGTATGAGATTCCCGTCTTTTAGCTTTACACGTTCAGTAGCTACATGGTAAATGCCCTAATATCATGGCTGTCTTCATTACTATCAAATAGGAGTAACTACTTTTCTAGGTGCAACTTTACTTAAATTGCATTATAATTCAGGAACACCTGATATCACATAAGTGCTTTATCTTTACTTATACGTCTATATATCTTCAAGAGAATGAACTCATATTTCAAAAGAAATCCACAACAAACTTCAACTACATTATGATCAACAAACAAAATTCCAGAAAACCGAAATGCCAAAAGATTCAAAGTGGGGACAATATAGCCACTGGCAGAGGGTGAAAGGGTCCCCTCAGTTGTAGGTGGTGGAGCGCGTGAGCCAAGGCAGGTTGTCCAGGTCTGTGTTGCCGCCACAGAGGATGACCCCCACCTTGCGAGGGGGGGGATCAACCTCATCCATCATGTGAACGGCAGCATAAACAGCCGCCCCCGAGGCAGCTTCAACCACCAACTGAGAGAAAAGGATCAGAGTCCGAGTCATCCTCTCAGGCAGCAGACATTCTAGGCTTTGAGACTATAATGGAGTGTGCTCTGTGAGTCATGCTTAGTATCATTAATCAAATGGACTTTTTATTAAGCAAAGAAGTTTAAAATGAACGTGAATCTTATTCAGCAACAGGAAAGAATACATAAAAATATTATATCTACAACTACTTATGTGCACACACACACACACACACACACACACACACACACACACACACACACACACACACACACACAAATCCATCACATTATAATTACCTTCATCCTCTCAAATGTGAGCTTCATGCCTTCCACCATCTGGTCATCTGTGACGGTGAATACTTTCGAATCCGCGCAGTCACAGATGATTGGAAAAGTCAGCTCCCCAATCTATGGCAGAAAATGTTTATGTTTATTGTTCTTCTATTTCTGTTTCTCTTTTTTCATGTGAAATTCCAGATATGCTTTAACCTTTAGAAATTTAAGAATTAGTTTTCTCCTTCCAATTTCAATATTGTTATATAAAGAGGAATATCAAATCAAGGCCTCCGAACATATTCCAATTGTACATAAAGGTACATACAGTATCATAGGGTCATCTCCATACAGATAGGTTCACTGTTCAAGGCAATAATAATAATAACCATGATGATTATATTAATCATAATAACAATAATAATGATGATTACCATGATGATTATATTAATCATAATAACAATAATAATGATGATTACCATGATGATTATATTAATCATAATAACAATAATAATGATGATTACCATGATGATTATATTAATCATAATAACAATAATAATGATGATTACCATGATGATTATATTAATCATAATAACAATAATAATGATGATTACCATGATGATTATATTAATCATAATAACAATAATAATGATGATTACCATGATGATTATATTAATCATAATAACAATAATAATGATGATTACCATGATGATTATATTAATCATAATAACAATAATAATGATGATTACCATGATGATTATATTAATCATAATAACAATAATAATGATGATTACCATGATGATTATATTAATCATAATAACAATAATAATGATGATTACCATGATGATTATATTAATCATAATAACAATAATAATAAAGATAATAATAACAATAACAATAATAGAGTACCAAGTGTAATACCAATAAAAACAATATAATTAACAATAATAACTTATAATAAGAGTAATAATAACAGCAATAACAATAATAATGATGATTACCATGATGATTATATTAATCATAATAACAATAATAATAAAGATAATAATAACAATAACAATAACAGAGAAAAAGTCTAACACAGAGTCATCCAAGAGGAGAGCACTCACCGCCTGCAACCTTATGGAGTCAGCAATGGTGTTGAGGAACCTGGACGGGTTTGGCCACAATCTCTCCTTGGCCTCCAGGCACTTCTGCAACCCCTTGCCCACTGGCTCCACTGCATACACTGCAAGGATTTAGCTCAACTTAGGAATCATAGTCTAATGGCCGTCCATTTCATTTTCAGTCAAGCTGCGACTTTCTCTCTTTTACTTTACTCTCTTTTGTGCACATGCAAGGGAATTCATTTGGCAAAATCTGGTGCAGTTGGTGAAGTGCAAGGATGCTGAAACTGACAACAAATATCCAAATATTAACACATGACTTGTTTATAGAACAGGGAGACGCTACGTTAAAACACAAGAGGAATAAGCCACAAGAGTAAAAAAAGAATACATTGATGAAGATGAAATATATATATACATATACTCTAGAGCGTACGGCTAAAAGTTTAAATCCACTCAGTGGGTTTCAACGACAGGAATGTGAGGGTGGGTGCTGATGCAGTGTTTCGAGGAGTTGGGGTGTTCGAGGAAGTTGTTTTCAGGACTGCGCACACTGGAGTGGAGTCAGACATGGATGTAGAGGGCAGCTGGAGGCGGTGGGAGCCAGGCGGAGGTTCAACTCAGACTCGAGCATCGAGACGGAGGTTCAACTCAAGTTCAACTAACAAGGCGGAGGTTTCAAATGGGGGTCAAGTGCTGAAGGGGTTCCGAGGGCCAAGCAACACACACGCAGGCACATGAGGAGGAGAGAGAGGCAAGCTTGAGGGCGAGGCTTCCGCCCCTTACGCAGCCTGTGGGAGGAGGAAGTAAGGATCGAAGAGAAACCATGACGTGCCCCCTCCTGCTGCTCGGGGCTCGTTCTCACTCGTTCTAAAGGAGGGTGCTCAAGTAGGTCCGATAAAGTGAACATTTGGTTTTCAAATACTGTGCAACATCTACTAAGTTATTTGGAGAGACAGAAATAAACACTACAATCATTTATTTAATGAAGAATGCCTTCCTTCTCCAACAATATGTTAGCAATACATACATAATATTTCACCTATTTCTGTCCCTCTAATCCATGCATAAAAGGACGTGTTTGTGCAGTAAAAGTGCATTAAGTTACATATCTAAGTAAGAGTAAATATTTTCTGAATGAACGGAAAACAAACTAATTCCATATCTAAGTAAGAGTAAATATTTTCTGAATGTACGGAAAACAAACTAATTCCTTTAATAACGTAGCACCCTCAGATTACAATATAAAATTGATAAATATTGAGATAATATAAGCAGACCCTTGGTGCTTCTCTGCCTGCAATACCCACAGATTGTGAAGTAAAGAATCATAAATTGGCCAGAATAAATAATAGTAAAATATGTATGTAGCTACTATCATCATTCTGCAAATAGTATATATAATGTTAAATAATCTAGAACCTGTAATCACTATTGATATACAACACATCCCTGAAATATATCAAATATCTATTACTATTGACAAAAAACATCATTCATGTTTCTGTTAGAAATCTTCATTAAACTTAGCATGATCTCAAAGAAAGGCAATAGAATAAAGTACAATACACTACTTGTCATTATGAGCTTCTATACAACTGTGTTCTGTATTATATCTCCTTCACCAAGTTAATGTAAGAGAAGTGGCTAATAAATGGACTGTCACAGATGAATGTGGCTGAAGAAGTGAGGGTAGTACTAATTACTAGAAAGTATACAAAATGAGTAATCATTAGTGGTGTTTTAACAGCAACAGAAGTGAAAGCTGTATAAATAAGAGTAGCTGGACTGATTGTTAAAGAAGTAGTAGTAATAGTAATGATAAATATATCTGTAACAGTAACAAAAATTATGCATGCAGTATACTCTGGAACACAGACACAAGAAATAATATAATTTCATGTCTTTGCTCCATCTTATCCAATACACATTACTAACTATTTTTGTTCACAGTATACACTTTTCCCCCAAATCTGAATGTTTGATGCATACAAAGCTTGGTTGCTATTAGTGAACACAAACAGGTGTGGAGGTGGAGACATACTTTGGTTACTAGATAACTAGAACAGGCCAATGAGGTAACATTAGTTAAGGAGGGAAAGAGAGAGAAAGAGTAAAAGAGAAAAAAAAAGGAGAGAGAGGAAAAAAGAAAGAGAGGAAGAGAGGGAGAGGGAGGGAGGGAGGGAGGAGGGAGGGAGGGAGAGGAGAGAGAGAGAGAGAGAGAGAGAGAGAGAGAGAGAGAGAGAGAGAGAGAGAGAGAGAGAGAGAGAGAGAGAGAGAGAGAGAGAGAGAGAAATCATAACCAAAAAATGACAAGACTGATAAACAATAGCTATGAATAGATTTACTAAAATATCAGAGACACATGCACAGTGAAGGAGAGAGGCAAATGATTTATTTAAAGACAGTAAAACTTCTCATGTTAATTTTATATTTTCATTAGCTATAAATATAATTTTGTATCTAAATTTGTTGCCTGTATTGCAAGAAATTTACAACAAAAAAATAATATAATTATTTAATCACGAAGCCTTATAGATACACTACAATCCTGAGCATTGCCTCAAAAACCAACCAGCCATAATTGAAACTACTGACTCTAACAAACAGAGATAATAGAACAGACAACAGCAACAGTCTTGCCAGCAATGCTAACAACACCAGTATTACTAAGGTAACACTAGTTGTGCCTGTGGTGGTTGCTGTAGCAGAAGCCTTGGCAATGGCTGCAGTTGGCATGGAGTAGAAGCATCAGAGCAGCAGCAGAAGAAGGGGAAGTAGCAAGAGGAATAAAGATAACAAGAATGGAGTAATTTGCTCCATGTAATTGATGTATTTCTCTCACAGTGATACATGGATATCCATTCTCCAACGGTACCAGTTATTTCTATAATCAGACTTTATAAAAGTATTTAAAAGTATTTTATGTAAAACTGCAACACTATTCAAATGGAAACAGAAAATGCTAACATTGATACATATGTGTGTGTGTGTGTGTGTGTGTGTGTGTGTGTGTGTGTGTGTGTGTGTGTGTGTGTGTGTGTGTGTGTGTGTGTGATTGGCTAGAACAGACATAATGATGTGATAAACACTGATATATTGTAGATATGCCAAAAAAATGTTATATGTTGTAATGGTACATTGTACAGTGATATACACAAACATAATTCACTACTTTGAAATAATACAAATCCATTAACATCCACATACTACAGCCTTGAAGAGAAAAATAACCCTACCAACAAACTTTAAGATGAGTAAAATTGCTTGCAAATAGAGTAAAAATGTCTTTACCTCTACACTGAGGTCGCAGCGCTCGCACAGCAACAGCTATCCCTGCTAACATACCCCCAGCGCTGGTGGACACTAGTACTGCATCTAGATCAGGTACCTGAAAACCATAAGAGGTTACAGGTCCCCTGGTAATAGAGATTTTAGTTACTACTTCACTTGAAGTTGTGAATGCAAGAAGAAGAAAAAGAAGAAAAAGAAGAAAAAAAGACCTCAGACTTATGGGGAAAACTGTGAAGAAAATGTATAGATGAAGATTTGAGAAAGAGTAGGGATGATAATAATAATAATATAGCATGCTTTCTGATAGATTTTTCAATACAATCTAATCTAATTAAACTAGAGCAATGACTGAAACAAAGATAAGAATACATTAGGCATTATCCACAATATATATATTTCACTGAAAGTATTGCCATTTCTAGTGGCAATAAATCATTCTAAAACTTTTTTTCTTTCAATAAGGGACAAATGGCCCCCTCTTAAACTATGTGCATGGGCTCCCCTCCTTCTTCCCTCTCTGACGGCTAATCTTGGGGCACAAGTGGGAGAGCATTACCTTATGAGTTGTAAGGGGTACCCCTTGTGCATGTGAATGGGTGAGAAAGAAAGGGAGAGTGAGAGTGCGAGTGAGAGTGAGTGAGTGTGTGCATGCATGTGAGTTGAGTTCCTTTTGGTAAAAGCTTGTACACACATTAATAGTAGAATAATATCAATGATATAAACACAAAAATATCTACCTCTTCCAATAGCTCAAGGGCTATTGTTCCCTGGCCTGCCATCACATCATAATTATCTGAAGAGCTGATGATTGTCTTGCCAGTCTCGTTCGCTATTTTTGCAGACATTTTCTTCCTGTGTTTGAAAAAGATCCAGATTATCAATATAAGCTTGTGAAAATTTATATAAAGTTTTGAGAAAGACAGGGTATTAATCAATATACAAGTCAATAATATATATATATATATATATATATATATATATATATATATATATATACATATATATATATATATATATATATTAAATCCTCAAATCAAATCATTTTAAAGGACAAAGAGGGGGAGGGGGATTACTGATCTGATATTGCCAGTCATCTGCTGTTACCACTAAGTTTGTCTTAGCTCATACCAACAATTCCATTATGAAAGAGAGAGCAATAATACAGTACTGACTGACCCAGTGGTCTTAGAAATTCTTAATCTGGCTCTGAATTTTAAACACACTAAGTAGTCTGCATAAAGAACCTGAAACTTTCCTCAGCCGAACCAGCCACTTCCTGGAGCCCGCTCACCTGGCCGTGGGAGTCGGGTCGCAAAAGACCAGCTCTGCTCCGTATCCCCGAATGGCGTCGCATTTCACTTTGGGGGCTCCTCTCGGCAGCACAACGGTGCAGTCGAGGTCTACGCATTCTGCAAGGTTAGCTCGTGATGTTTATTGTGGGTCGAAAATGCTTTAAAAATTGGTAACCAGTAACTGTATGTATCAGACTGAACTATTCTGATATGATTTCCATTGGTATGAGTTACATTCAAGAAAACTGGTACACTATTTGCATCTATTCTATGATGATGAACGGTCTTTTGACCTCGGTTAGTCTTCCACTTTGGAAAGCTGTAAAATTAGCAAATATCAGTAACAGCAAATACACATGCTATTGCACCAGACTGCATGTATTTCCAGAGAAGCTTGCTCACTCACCTCAAAAAATGATAAAAATACAAAAAAAATAATAAAAAATAAAAATAAAAACAGCATCCTATAAATATAAAAAATCTACAGCAACAAAAGTTTTAAAAAATAAAAACAAACAAATAAAAGGTGAATCA